GCTCTTTGTTGCCCGAACCGTGAGGACGTGTCTACCTTTGTGCCTGCGGTAGCTGAGGGTAGGGAAGCACATGAAAAACATGTCCCTTTAAAAAATACATGGTTTGCCTTTGTTCCCCAACAACACAAGTACACACATCAAAACAGTCCCAGAAGTATCTTGTTCTGTGATCTCACTTGTGTTCATTCATTCATCTGTACTTGAACTCTGAAAATTTTCCTTTCAAAAATTAAGATGGCCTTAAATAAAGATTTACTTCACTTTTTATGGAATGGACTTTTCTGAAACATTAGCTGTTTAAATGCAAATAGACATGTTTTCCTGACGATGTCTGTTACTGCAATTGCACAGCAGATTTTCATTTGGAACTATTGAAATCACAATACATCTTACAATATAATTTTAAGAAGACGCATTGTTTCATAAAAATAGCTTTTTTTATTTTTCAGTTACAGTTGATGTACAATATTGTATGAGTTTCAGGCACACAACATAGCATTTTAGACATTTATATATCTTACAGAGTGATCACCCCAGTAAGTCTAGTACCCATCTGACACCATGCATAGTTATACAATATTATTGACTGTATTCCATGTGCTGTTCTTACTTGACTATTCTGTAACTGTCCACCGATACTTCTTAATCCCATCATTTTTCAGCCAGTCCCCCAACTTCCTTTCTATCTGGTAACTGTCAAAATGTTCTTTGTGTCTATGAGTCTGTTTCTGTTCTGCTTGATTATTTTGTTTAAAAAATACAGAGTTTTGAAGAAGAAACAAAAACCTTGTTTGTTGCCAGACTTACTCATATTGCAAACTTACTCATAAAGTAAACAGCCCCCCCCCCCCCCATTTACTGTGTAGCATTTGTGGTCAAATAGGGCTTTGCATTTGCTTGTTGATTGATTAGCTTTTATCAGAGGCTTGGACACCAAAAGCTGTAAGCTATGACTTGTCATCTAATATTTTTCACTATATTGTGAAGGCTGTTAGTTGGGAAATGTAGGTGATTTTGGAGAACCCAGACTCTCAGCTTCATATTGAAGAATGATCTTTCTAGAGCACACTGAAAGTTCTGCCCATTGACGAGCTCTTAGTTTGCTGTGTGACGCGGAGATTTCATTGAGCAACCTAAATCTGCAGAAGGAGCTCTTGTCATGGCCAGCAGTGTTCAGTAGCATGATAAGGGTTCATCTGTTTCAGGCAGTGTTCCAAAGGCAGGGAAAGCATCTTTGCCAGCTCCTCCTGCCCTTTCTCTCCCCATGAGGACGTCTTCTTGCCAGAGTAGAGTCAGTGAGACTAATGAGGGTAGTGGGAGTCTCCAGAGGTATATGGCTGAACTGTGGCCTGGGGTGGACCTCCGTGTTTCACCACTAGTGCCCTGTGCTCAAGTCACACAGCACCCCAACACCGTGCGTGTGTGTGCGCGCACACGTGTCTAGGCCCTCCAGAGGTGGAGAGACTCCTTGCAGTCACCTTCATAAGAGGAGCCCATGGGGAGTCCAACTGGATCTGAGTTCAAAATCCCAGCTCGATCACTTAGGTAAGTGTTGCAATCTTTCTGCTTCTCAGTCCCGATGTATAACGGAGGCCGACGGAGGCCGACTCCTCCTCGGGGTGCTGTGCTTCGTGTGCCCTGTCCTGTGGTGCCAGGAGCCAGTCTGCCTCTTCGACTCGGGCACCTGGTAATGTCTGATGGGAAGCGTCCTGGCTTGCGGCCTCCCGGGAGTGCTGTGTGTGCGGCTTTTACTGGAGGATGGCCAGGGCCATTCCGGCACACGGAGGGGACAGATGGCAGGAGCTGCAGAGCAGTTTGGACACGGCAGCACCTTCATGGCAGGAACAAGAGGGCCTGTAGGAGGTCTCACTCCTGTGGCCCTTCCCTGCCACACGGCTTTCAGGGCGCGAGCCGGACCCGGCTGCGTGCCCTTTGTTCGGAAACACTGTGCCTTTTCAGAATTAATTAGGTGTTTTCCTACCTCACCCGTTCGTTCCTGGACCCTGGGGGAATTCACTTGAAGTAGCAGCTGCAGTAATTAAAGGCAGAAGTGCTCATCTGCTGTTGAGGTTTTGTGGAGGAGGGCCGAGTGGACTGGTGCTCAGGACGTGGCTGTGGCATTGCGACAGCACAGGCAGCACAGGTGGGTTTAGCAACACCTCAGGGTTCTTGGCAACAGTCAGATCCCTATAGCCTTGGGTCCTTTTCAAGTGTGAAATTTTGTTTTGCTTGACCATGAGAGGAGAGGGACACCGAACTGTTCACCATTCTCGTCAAGTCCGGTTTCTTACGCGCACACGATAACAGGCACACAGCTATGTGCACAGGTTGCGTGTTCGGGCTTGTAACTCCTTTCCCGTGTGTGCGTGTGTGCGTGTGTGTGTGTGTGTGTGTGTGTGGTGCGGTGCTGTGTGTGCTGAAGAAGGATCCTGAGGGTGTTTGCTGGAGTGTTGGAGAATGGTTGCCCATGGCAGAAACATGGAGCTGGGCAACACCTGTTGTCCACAGTGTGCCCTTGGCCTTGGTGAACTGGCCCTGTCTGGGAATAGTCCTCTCTGGACAGCAGGGTGTCGGGGTAGCTGGAGCTTCTATCAGGCACACCACACTCAGCCATGAAGGACAGTTGTTGAGGTGCCAGTCGCTTCCTCTTCTCGCTGCCCGTTGCCAGCTCTCTCCTGCCGTCGGTGCCTGCTGCTTACTCACCCAGCCAGGCACCGTTTCTAATGTCCATGGTTTCTGAGTCTCTTCTCTGATTTTTCATTTCCATATTCTGCCTACAACCCCCTTCATTTATTCCTCTCCTGTCACAGAAAATCACAGTGTCCCCATTTCCTTCCCAGGACTTCCTTGAGAGTTTTCTTTCCTGTCCCGTGAGGTCACCCGTCTCTGATGGCCTTCAGTCTTTCTCCCTCGTTCAGAGCACAGCACGACTTGTCTGCCTTCCCTGTGGACATCTCCTTAGCTCTGCTCCCCGACCCTTCCTAGTGGCCAGGGCCCGCTCCCCCTCAGCACCCCAGCTCTCCAAGAAGGATCCCTGTTCCCCAGTGCCCTTCTGGTGGGCTTCATTTCCTTCATCTCGACAGCCCTGATCCCGTGTGGCCTGTTCTTCTAAAAGCCAGCATTGACTTCCTGGGTCACCGAAGCTTGGGCACTCTTCCCTGTACTCACTCACTGTGCTCTGTCTTTTCTGCAGTGTTTGTTCGTTGTTTATCCAGTAGATCATTTTATTAACCAAGAGAGTTAAGATGCACTTTTGCTGTTGAGTATATAGTCGATTGGCAGTTCCAGGGCAGGGTGCTAAGTGATGTTCTAGAATGTTGTAGGGTATCTTCTTCCCTGAGGGGATGAGCTTGGTGATTAGGTGGGAGCTATCTGGGGCAGGCACCTGGCACACCTGTGGCCTCTCTGTTGAAGATACTCTGGCTGGTGTTAGATTTGCCTAGAGTGAAGTGCACATACTAGCGGAATTGACATTCTCCCTCACGGTGTAGTTTTCCATCAAGTTTGAATGGTTTGTTTGCAGTGCTTACTCTGGCGAGTCCTGGTTGGTGTGTGGCACTGATTTAAACTGCTTAGAGATCCCTATAGCAGCTAATCTGCTGTGTCCCCAGCAAGTGTGTGTGGAGTGTTTCTAGTTGTTTTTCACGGGAGTCCTGTGTGTGATTGGGGGCCAGCCAGGCTCAGAGTACGTACATTCCTTTTTTTTCTAGGGATGCTTCACATCTTGTTTGAACCCCTTGCCCAGTGACAACTGAGGCAGCTGTGCTCCAGGCTGAGGTGTGTCTGATGCTGGAGGCCAGCAGGAAACGGGCTCTGAGATCGTACCTCTGTTGGCATGTTTTCTGGCAGACACACCGCCGCTGAGCCGGTGCTGAAGCCTCCAAACAGATCAGTGTCTCCACGCTCGGGCTGGCCTCGGCGTGTTGTGGAGCGGGCTCTTCCCCTTCTCGTCCTGCCCTACTTTCTCAGCCACACGCACCTGCTCCCACGAGGTGCTCCAGTGACCCAGGGACCGTGCTGTACTTAGGGGACAGCACATCAGGTGTCAAGCAGCTCCCTTTGTTTTGTTGTTCTTTTGTCCAGTACTCCATTCTGGGGAGTGGAGAGGGAGCTGGAGACTCTGAAGGGATCGTTACATTGTGGCAACTAACTGATCGTTTTACCATATGAGTGGATCCATTTGGATGCTTGTTTTCCTGCCTCTTACTTAGAGAGTGTATTATATACTGTGCATGTCCATCACGATAGGGCTGCCTTTGAAAATTAATATTGTATAGTCTCTCTTTCCTTCCTTCCCCGTTGGGGTCTGAGTGCGTGTGCATTATGAGAAGTGTCCACACCACTTAGTGTGTAAGCACTAGTGTTGAGAGCCAGTGTCAGTTGGAGATGGGAGGTGGGGGTGGGGATATGATTGAAGTGACAGTGACTGTATCACTTGCCTAAGATTTGTTATAATGATGTTCAGTCTGCGCCCCGGGAGCTCGTTCAAACCACAGTTACCTCTTCTCTCTGTGTGTTGTCCACGCCAATCACAGAGCTGCAGGGGAACAGACCAGGTCGGAGTAATTAGATTGAGGAGTGAATGTCACACTTGTAACTTTATTCTTTTCAAGGGATTACCAGTGTCCATTTGATAAGAAGAGATGAACCCTCTCCTCCAGCCGAGAGTGTTGGAGAGCTGGCAGGCAGTGTATCTTACAGCTCACAAGAAGCAGTGTCTCAGCACTCTTGGAAAGTGTCCCCCTTTTATTAGCTGAAAGACATTTTTACTGTTCGTGAGCACGTGTCTGTGGCATTACAGAGAGTGAAATTGAAGGAGAAAAGTTTTGTGGACTCATCTGTGCTACATGGAAACAGTAATGTAGAAATAGCACCATATAATTGAGTTTTGAGATGCCCAGATACCAGTAATCAAATACCTAAGAAATTAGGAGACCAAAATAAAAACTGTAAGAAATATTTATAAAGTAAATAATTCTGTCTTTCCTGGAATGTTCTAGAAAACCTCGAATCAATTCTCAGCTGGTGGCACAACAGGTGGCGCAGCAGTACGCCACCCCACCACCCCCGAAGAAGGAGAGGAAGGAGAAGGTCGAGAAGCAGGACAGAGAGAAGCCTGAGAAGGAGAAGGAGATCAGTCCTGGTGTCACCAAGAAAAATACCAACAAGAAAACAAAGTAAGTTCCTGGGTAACTCAGCGCAGCGTGTTGTTTTGCAGGTGAATCTGAGACCTCCTTTAATGCCTCTTTCGGTGCCCCTGCCCTTTAGACCAAAGTCTGACATTCTGAAAGATCCTCCCAGCGAAGCCAACAGCATACAGTCTGCAAATGCTGCAACGAAGACCAGTGAGTCGAATCACAACTCCAGGTACTGGAAATAGAATCAATGCCGAGGTGCTGCTCTGCTTACCCAGTTATAGTCAAGAGCCAGAAGGTTCTGTAGGCTAAGGGGTGGGGTGAAGAACTGGGTCTGAGACTTTTAACCTCATATGTGGGCTACTTTTATATCACAGTGGCCAAAACAGGAGACAGATAAATTGGTAACTATTGGGAGTGATCCAGAGCTTTGTAGCTGGTGGTCTGTGGTAAGGTTACCCGCAGCGTTGTGGTGAGCTTGGTGGCAGTGGGAACAGATTCACTGCCACAGTGTTGTGGAGTCTCTGTGCATTGATGATTTCTGCCAGAAATCGTTTTCAATCCACAGCTTATTTAATTGGCTGTTCCCCGGTGGTCTTGCTTTCAGGCCCCGACTGAAAAACGTGGACAGGAGCACTGCACAGCAGTTGGCAGTGACTGTGGGCAACGTCACCGTCATTATTACAGACTTTAAGGAAAAGACTCGCTCCTCCTCAACGTCCTCATCCACAGTGACCTCCAGTGCAGGGTCGGAGCAGCAGAACCAGAGCAGCTCGGGGTCCGAGAGCACAGACAAGGGCTCCTCCCGCTCCTCCACTCCAAAGGGCGACATGTCAGCCGTCAACGACGAGTCTTTCTGAAATTGCACATGGAGTTGTGAAGACTATGAATCAGGGTATGAAATTCAAATCCTCCACCTGCCTGTGCTGCTTGCACCTGGAGACTCTTCCGTGGACATCGGCCTGGTAGTAACGCTGCCGGAGAACTGCTCGCCACGGCGCTGGCCACGAGGAATTTCGCACCCTGACGGTTACTCTTGACACTTTTATGTATTCCATTGTTTTATATGATTTTCCTAACAATCATTTATAATTGGATGTGCTCCTGAATCTACTTTTTATAAAAAAAAATCTGCTGTGCACAATTTTCCATGTACATTACAGCTGGTATTTTGTTTTTGTTTTGTTGGGGGGTGGCTGGGAGGGGGAGGGAACTTTTATTTATTGTGTTCACAAACTCCATCCTTTCTGCATATCCTTCTAAGTTTAGTTCTTTCTTCCAGTTATACTATGTACTATCGGTTTTGATATAACTATATATGAATATAAAATTATATATAAAGGGTTATTTGAAACCAATCCATGGCAACGCTGGTGCTTGACACACTGTGAAGTGAGTGCGACAGTGACAGAGCTGGGACAGTCCCCTCTACGAAGAGCTGAAATCACATTAAAATCGCTCTTACATGAAGTATGCTCCAACCCACGTGGAAGCTGACTCTCTCATCTGTTTAAAGAGTACTGGACGATAGGAAAATATATATTTTTAAACAATATGATCTCAAATTTAAAGACTGCTCCAGATAGCCTGCATTTGCAGTGGGTCCCTGGCCGGCCACAGGTGACTGGTCGGGAGGCTTTGCATTCAGACGGAACTGAGCTGGCTCCGGACGCTGGCTCCGTGTCGGTGTCGCTGGGGCTGCTGGTGCAGTGCTGCGCGGACAGCACTCCCGGACACGGTGTCTGTAGCTCCAGTTCCACCCACTTCCCAGTCTGCTCCTGTCCGAGGCAAAGCTATACATTGTCTCTTAGTTTTAGGGTTACAACTATTTTTGGTCCATACAAGAAGCAAATCCCTATTTTCACTCTGCACGTGACATTGCCGTGGGGGTTTTGTAATGGAAATCGTTCGCCTCACACCCTTCCTCTCCCTTCCCTTCCAGTTCAGTTTGGAGATTGTGTTCCTTTCTTTCAAATCTGCTTGTTTGTTTTCCTCATGAACAAAGGTTATTCCCACATCCAGCCTGCACCTTCTGATTCCTTGCTGTGCGGAGCGGTGGCGGGGGAAACGTTTGCCGTGCGCCGTGCGGTGCAGGGGCTGGGTCTCTCTTCCTGAATACAGAGAGCTTGAGCCAGCTCTGTTTTAAAGTTTCTTTTCACTTTTTTTTTCGTCTTGGGGGGAGGGGCAAAACAACGCCCACCAAGGATCCCACCCTCCGCATTTTAAACATGATTTGTTTTGCTTTGTTTGGATTTCCGGTCTCTCTTCTACTTAACTTTTAACATTCGTGTCCAGACTTCAACGACTTCAGTCATTTCGGGCGTGGGAACTTGTTTATCTGATCACACTTAGGGGTTCATGGAGGGCAGCTGATCTAAGGAAGCACCGCAGTTTGGTGTGGAAAACCTGGTACGCTCAACAGGAGTACCTTCTGTCTGGAGGCCACGAGTAAAAAGAAAATTAACAGCTTGATTTGAGTAGCCAACAGGAAAGGTTCCTTTCACATTTACATTAAAACTATTCTGTAGTCACTATTGTACCATAACTGAAATTCTTTCTCAGAAGCAGAGGTCACGGAGCAGCGCCACTGGTGGCTGTGGTCCTGCACCAAGGCACGGGCAGCGTCCCTCTGTGAAGAGCGCTTGTACCTGGGGTGCAAGCTGTGCTTGTCTTCTTAAATACATTTTTCAAGTATTTATTACTGAACCAAAGGAAATCAAATGCTTTCTGTAAGCATCAGAATATATAATACATAGTGATTTGACTATGAATTTTAAATCCACATTTTAATATTAGTGGGATATTGCAAAGACATTCCTTCTAAAGTTTTAATATTCCTTTTATTAAGGGTCTCAGGGAGGGTAAATTAGTCAGCCATATTTATTTTCCAGAGATATAAGGAATTGCTAAGTTTTTTAATTAACTTTTTAATAAGAAAAATTAAATGTCACCAAACCCATGGGTTGCACTGCTTTTTGAACCAGTAAGTGTTGGTATGCACTTTGTTCAGAAACACTGTGTAACTTTTTCAAAATTAGTTTCATGTAAAGTGATTGGACCCCTAGATTAGTGGGAAAAGCTGATTAACCAGCTACTCATAGGCTGCTAATTAATTATTTGCCAATGTCTTGGTTTTTCGGTTTTGCCTCCGTGATGAATTCAAGAAGGGGGGTGAAGTGGGGGTGCCATAGGACAGGTGGGATGACATTGCCATTTGTATAGAAGCTGCAGCTGACAGCGGGACGTCCCCTGGCAGTCGGATGGTGCTGGGCCAGCCCTCAGCCGCCTGTGTCCGCAGAGAGGCCTCGGGCCGCGTCCTGGAGTGGAATTCCTGCAGCTTCTTGCATTTGCAGTTTGCCCTGCACCTAGTGGGCAGAGTGTGAAAACGCTAGTGTAGATTAGATATATTCAAAGAGGGTCAGAAATACTTGGTATTCAGTGGCACAGTAAGCAGGTTATTTAAAAAAACAAAACAAAAAAAAAGCACAGTGTTATGCTTGCAAGTTCCCATTTCTTTTAATACCACCCGATCTTCCGCTTATGCACAGAGCTTACCTGCCATGCTCTGTTTGAATCATGCAGTTAAAACAAAAGGTAAAGACATCCTGACACCCACAACACTTTTCAATCAAAACCCTTCAGTTTTAATCTGGATATTTCAAAACATTGGCAGAAGTTTCTGGGAGTTGAGTTCCACAAAGACATTTCGCCTGCCTTATCAAGACCATTCTCAGTCTACTTTTTTAAGCTACCATATCTTAAATTATTGAAAATTTATTAATTGCTGAATATATAATAACCTTTGCTTGTATGTAACCGGAAATGGTTTAAGAGCCAACATTTAGAGTATGACAATGGACCTGAACAGTTTTTAATGCGCAAGCAGTTCTGTTCTTGTGTATGACTTGTAACCTTAATTTACTGTGTAAAGATGGTTACATTATTTCCTTAGCTTTGTTTGTTGGAGACAAATAGAGAATGCTTGTTAAGTATGTCAAAACATAATCTTGTGAATTTTTGTTAATGTATTATACGAGCTATATTTTTCATTTGCCCAGAAAGACAGCTTGTATAACGCTTTTGGAAGTTTCTGCTCTGTGATGTCTTTAGAGCTGACAGTCTTAGGTTTGTTCTTTTCTTCATGCTAAAGTGTCAGTTGGTGGTTTTGTGAACTGGTCAGAAATTCACAGGTCTTAAATGTTTTGGGGAAATTTATATTGGACACTGCTCTTTGTCTAGCAAATGAAAGATGTTAATATATTCCTGTTGCTGGCATGTGCACGCCCGTGTTCTTAGAAAAGCCACTTTATCGTTTCCTGCTTCAAATAGAAATGTCTATTTATGAATTCTGCTTGTAGTTTTTTCACAAATAAAATAGTAAAATTTACATTGAAATCTTTTATTTCTGTGTGTGTAGATTTTAACCTTTAGGGAAATAGTTCCTTTTTGAACTCAGATATTTAGCTTGTGGAATATTCCCAGTGGGAATAGGAGGCTCAGAATGTGTGTGTCCTGTCGGAAGCTGGAGTGGTTGGCTGTCTTCCTGGCTGCAGCAGGATGGCCGGGCCTCGGCAGGAAGGAGCAAACGTGTCTGCATTTTGAAGCTGGCTGCGGTGACCTAGAGACAGAAATGGAGGCGACAGCTCTGCGGCCCGTGGCATGGGCACCCAGGCCCTGCAGACGCCCTGCCCGTGGCATGGGCACCCAGGCCCTGCAGAGACGCCCTGCCCGTGGCATGGGCACCCAGGCCCTGCAGACACCCTGCCCGTGGCATGGGCACCCAGGCCCTGCAGACGCCCTGCCCGTGGCATGGGCACCCAGGCCCTGCAGAGACGCCCTGTCCGTGGCATGGGCACCCAGGCCCTGCAGAGACGCCCTGTCCGTGGCATGGGCACCCAGGCCCTGCAGACACCCTGCCCGTGGCATGGGCACCCAGGCCCTGCAGAGACGCCCTGTCCGTGGCATGGGCACCCAGGCCCTGCAGACACCCTGTCCACGGCCCAGTGCAGTTAGGCCATCGGGCTCACCTGTCAACACAGCAGGCAAACCCAGAAGCACAGCTGGCTGGTTGCCCTGCTGACACCGCGGCTGCCCCCGAGAACATGGAAACCACTCACCACCACAGCGTCCACCCCCGGTGCTCTGTCCCGGGTCAGTACGGGGACTGACCCTGAAAGGAAGACGACATACGTGGCCAGGGCCCTAATCTGAAAGTGGTTGTCCTGGTGAAAGGAAGCTTGGCAAGCTCCATTGTCTTCATTGTCTAGGATGAGTCAACTCAAGTCTAACAGGTCATAAATCGAGGGGATCTGGACAGGCTGAAGGGCAAGGATCGGTTGGTGTCTGATGTTTCCCAGGGGCCGTTTTGGATCCAGATAAGGTGAGGGACTTTGGTACCTGAGGAAACCTCTGTGAGGACCCCTGGTTTCACCATCCGGGGAGGAAGGGAACTGCCCCCGACGCCAGATAGGCGTGCAGCAAGAGGTGGGTCCCCACGTGACAGGCAAGGACGGCATGGAGGAGTGCGGGTTCTTCCCGACTGCGGACGAGTGGGAGGCAAAGGGAAGCCCGGCACAGACCACGCTGAGACCCAGGAGGAAAGCATGCGAGGGTGCGACACCATGGTGGTAGGAAGCTTGTGCTGAATCCATCTGGGTTGGGGGTTGGGGGTGTTTTGGTGGGACGTTCCCAAGCTCTCCTGGGGCAGCAGAGAGGGGCGGTGTCGGGGGCCTCGGTCGGCCTGGTCCCAGCAGTTCTGAAGACGTAGTTGCTCTGAAGCCTTGAAGTCACAGCAAGAAGAGGCTCAGAGCCACCCTTGTGTTAGGGCGAAAGTTTGATCTGAGTGCTGCGTGCTAAGCATCAGAAGCAGCCAGGTGTAGTCTGGCTGCCCATCCTGGCGTCTGTCAGGAGGGACAATCTTCCCAGCAGGCTGGGCCACTGGAGGCTTTGATCTTCATAAAGAAGTTTGTAGGACACGTGTGGGAAGGGGTGGGCTCAGACCCTGGACTGATGCTGAGATTCCTTCCCTGTGGGCACCGAGCACGAGGTGGGGAGAGGCTGCAGTGGCTAGGCCTCCCCAGCCCTCTGCATCCAGTGCAGTGCTAGGAACAGCCAACGGGCAGTGTGGAGG